GCAAAAGCAATCTCTGCAACACGGGCCACGTTGCATATCCAATCCCACGACGATGCGGCACGTTTGCATATCCAATCCCACGACGATGCGGCACGTGCCCACGTAGGACCTGCACCACCACTCTCCCATTCTTATCTCAAACGAAGAGAGGACAGCCACGTGTTTTCCCTTGAGCCTCATCTTCTACCTCCAGGTCCTCCCATGGATGTGAACCCAAAATAGTCTGCCGTGTGTGAGCAGATAGAGCGCCCATGGTTGGATCTAGCTGCTGGAAAGCCTGTTGTCTGCTGTGAGCTCGGGAAGAGGGGCGAAGCTGCCGCTGTCTACCCGCGCCCCCGCTCGCTGCCCCATCCCCATGTCGCATCGGGACCCTCCCCAGCCACCGCGTGTCACCCATCGCAACCCCGTCGCCACCCACCGCACTGATTCGGCCAGGGACAGAGAGATCTACCAGCCCAGCCCATCCACCGCCATGGTCATCGGTGCCCTACCGATGTCATGTGAACAACCAACAAAATCCGGAGTCAATGACGAACACGTTTATACACCACCATCTCCATTGCAAAATTTTCTACAACATCGTCTGTGTTGCAACCGTGCCTATGTTGCAAAAAAGTGAAGACAGGAAAAAAAAATCCGAAACATAACCTATGCTCCAAAAACATTCTGCAACACAACCTCTGTTGCAAATGTTTCCGAAACACGAGCTCTGTTGCAAAGGGTTCTGCAACACTGTGTTTGTTGCAATAGTGAGGACGGGGCAGGGCTGTTAGATGTACCAGATCTAGTGGCCGCCTCGAGGCAGCGGATCTTTTAAAAAGATCCGCCGGCCGACGCGTAGCACGTCCCTTAAGACAAATAGTTAGCAACATAGTTGTGTTGGTTTACCTCTAGATTCGATCAGGTGCTGGGACAGTACATCCCTCATCCTGATGGCGTCCTCATCTGCAATCTGACGCACTTGCGCAATGTAATACTTTTCCTCCACAATGCCTGCACTCTGCTCCTCCTCCATGTCTATCACTATGTTATTCAACATGCAGCACACGTAGATTATCGAGAACATGTAGCCCTGATTATTTAGATGCGGCCCTTCTCCACGAAGGCACTTGTGTGTGCCTTTCAACCGTGCCAGTGCCCTCAGCACGACGGCTATAGCTGCAAAGTTTCTCTTGTTGAACTCCACTTTGGAGTCCAAGTCTGAGAGGTCATTCTCTAACTGGTAAGGCGTGAGAAGCCAGGGACGAAGAGGATATCCTGCACCACCAATTATGTATTCCCCGACTTCCAATCCACCACCTAGTGATACCTTCAGCTTGTTGCCATTCAGCAAAGTACCATTCTCACCCATCTTGAAAAGATCAGAGTCGTGCAAAACGCTCAATTGGTTCATCATGCTACCTGGCGACCCCAACCAAATGTTTGTAAACCTCATATCTGGATCAATGAGAGCTTGCATTAAGATGCCACATTTCTCCTCATGGTCACGGCTTTGTGACCCAAATTTGACGTGAGCTATATGTATAACACCACAGCAGTTTGGCAGGCCATGGATCTTGTCAAACTTGCGCTTGATCTTCTCCATTTTAGTGTAGCCAGGCCAATGCAGGTGGTGCATTGCTCGCACACGCATAGCCTCAACAAACACCTGAGTTACCAGCAAGACAGTTGACTCATTCACACCAAGAGAGAATCCTACGGTAATAGGTGAGCCACCCGAGTTCAGCATTGCCAAAGCAACAAATACTCGATCTTGTAAAGACAGCACTCTCCCGTCAACAAAGGTGTGATCCTGATCCCTTGACATCATATCTTCGAAAAATGGGATCCTCACCAAGCTGCAGATGTAACTGAAGGTACTTCTTCTCATTTTGCACACAGACTCAAATCCTAGAGCATCCATAATAGAAGATGATAAATTTTCTGCATGGGAAGAAAGATACAAAAGGTGTTATAAATAATCCCTAATTTTAAAGGCAAGAGCAAATATATTACTCTAGATTTGTTAAACTCAGAGAAACCTAGCAAAACAAGTAATTAGAATGATAAAACTTTGCTACATATGAAAGTGTAACTAAATCAGAAAGTAATAGCCATGAAAAGACCCACAAGTCCAGCTAGTGCTATAGCTAAAGCTTAAGTTGCATGCCTAGAACAACCAAACAGACACGTTTATATGTCATCTGAAACCACGTAATCATGTGAAACAAAAAAAATACACAATAAATTCAATCAGCATGCTGTATATATGGATGAAAAGCAGGAGATAAAATCAAATGAACTTATAAACTGGCAGAGGAGTCAGAGTGCCCAAGCAAATTAAGACAGCTCTCGTATCTCTTATTTTCTATACCTTGAAAAATGGTAGAGCTGCTAATATTTGAATCCAGTTTGAAGTTGTCTCTTCTTGTGTACAACACATACCATTTCCTTTGGTTGTTTCCATCACGTGCATATGCCTGTACATGATCCACATGGCTGAACTTGTCCCACTCAGGACCAGATTGTCCTGCGGCTAATGAAGATACCAACCATATCCTGCAGAGCAGCTGCAAATGCCTTGGGTTTATATCTCGCATGTATTCTGGAAGTTCTTCGATGGCATAATTCTCCAGAACCAACCACTCAAGTGCAGGGATACTCTCTAGCATCTTCAACTTTGGGCAACCTTTGATGATGAGCTTTTGCAGATTGGGGAGACTAGTGATCCTCTCTAGGTCAGGGCATGCATGCACTGTAAGCTCAACAACAGAAGAAAAGCTCTCAAGGTAGTTGAGGTGATGGACGCCTATTACAATTAAAATCTTCAAAGCCCTTGCATTGGAGGCAAGCCCAGGAGGAGCACGTCTCAGTTTGCAATTACCGAGCAAAAGCGTCTCCAGACGGGGCATGGCCTGTACTTGCTCCTCCCACTCCCAATCCTCCCATTCCACCATGCCAACTAACTTCATCGCGTTTAACCTCGGAAATGGAGCTGCCACTGCCTGCAAGAATTCACTCCCAACATGCCTGATGCATGGAGCGCGGTCGACCTGAAGCATCTGCAGGTAGGGGAGCTGACACAACCCATTGGGAAGTTGTGTGCAACAAGCCAGGTGCTCAAGCCATAGATACTTCAAGTTGTTGAGGGACACCATTGACGTAGACATCATCCAACTTGGGAGTTGCTGGCCAAAATACCCACGAATAGAAAGATCAACTATACTGGGCGGAGGGCAGAGCTCATCAAACACCTTCTCGTTTCTTTCCTGCTCTCCATTAGAGACACCTTTCTCTATGAGCAACCCATCATCTCCCAGTTTGCTGGTGCACCACAAGAATAGGTTTGTAAGATGCCTTTTCTCACAAAGCCTAGCATTAGCAGCAAACGAAGCAGCAGGTACATTCTCCAGTTGAACTAAATGAAGGCGCCTGAGTTGGGAAAGAGGCCCCAACTCATCCAAACTACACCAATCACCATCCACGTGGGCTCGAAATCCATGTAGTCTCCTCATACTTGTCAGACCATGGAACCCTCTAGGTATCACATTTGTGCTGGGAAGATCAAATAACCTCAGCTGGCCAAGCTTCACAATGCTATCAGGAAGATTCACCAATGTTGTACATCCACCAAGGTCGAGAAATTGCAATAGTTTCATCTTGCCAATGCTCACCGGAAGTACAGATATATCAGTGTTTAATAGTGCCACATATCTCACGTGCTTCAGCTGATGCAACGATTCAGCAAGTGCAGCCACATCTGCAGATTCTATATGTAGAGTCCGTAGACTAGAAAAGGCAGCCAATGAATCACCAGGCTTCAAATTGATCTGAGTAGTTGAGATTAATGTTCTCACTGATTGCTGCTCCTGCAAAGATTTCCAGTCAAGGTCACCTGATTGCATAGACAACCGAAGAAACTTCTGTGAACTAAGTCTAGTTAGCATATCATTGTCTCTGTCTTGAGTTGTGAATGCTTCATCTTTAGTCATATACTGAGCAAATGAACGAACAACATCATGCATGCTACAATAATATTGATCGACATAATTGATATTAGGCTCTATAAGGTTCCTAGATATCAGCTCATTGTAGTAATTTCTTCCAGATTCTTCTAAATCATTCGAGTTCCCATGAATAAATCCTTCGCTGATCCACATCCCAACTACTTGATCCACATGAAAATTTCTGCTTTTAGGAAGAAGAGAGTAGTATAGAAAGCACTGTTTCAGATAAGGAGGCATATCCTCATAGCTCAAGTATACTGAATAGTTGAGCTCTTGGGGCATTCTAGTTGTTGACCATTTAGAATCATCCAAAACATGCTCCCAGTCATGACGTAGCTTCCCCCTTTTACGCAGGAGTCCTCCCATTATTTTAATGGAGAGCGGTAAACCACCACATTTCTGTATAATTTTCAATCCGACATCCTTCAGCATATTGAGGTGGTCTTCATCTATCTCACTTGAGAGTGCCTGGAAACATGCAGTTCAACGGACCAGTACAGTTAATTAACTATGTACCAAGCTTGCTCAAATATAACTCTTAAGAGACAAGAGGACTGCCTGACGTAACCTTTTATTTACCAGGCTAGGTTTGATTACGTAATATTCAAAGTACAGAAAGTACTTGTCAAAAAAAACATATTTACCTATCTTGCTCCTGTGCACAGAGATAACAAATTTTCTTTCCTTTTCTCTCTACAAAATGGAATGTATTGCCAGGAAATATAATGTTGCACTACTCTCTTATCTCTGTTACAAAAGATTATACTCCCTCCAGCTGGATGCAAAGGGTGTGCATGTGCTTCTAGGTCATTGATTTGACTAACCAAATATGTGTTATATCTTCTATGTCACCAAAAGCATATCACTGGATTCATGGAGGAGTGAAGTTTCTAAGCATATACTTTTCATCACATGTAATACATATTTGGTTAGCCAAATTGTCGACCTAGAAGCACGTGCACGCTCTATGCACCCGGCCAGAGGGAGTACTCTAAATTTTTCTGAAAATGTAATATTCATAATACTAGGCTAAACATTACAGCCTAAAATCCGCATGCAATTATTTTTCAAAACTACTACAACTCTAAGCCAGCTAATTTATATGTGATTTTTCTTGTATTGGTAGGGGCTCACAGAAATTATTATTCTTAAATCTTAAAATAAATGTTCATTTCTATCATGTCCTATGGTAGTGGATGAGTAGCTGATCACTGAAAATTAGCAACAAATTACTCACTGCATGAATATACAGCCCATATTTCTTCGATGGTAAAAATGATACATCTACTAAATATCAAAAATTTCTGATAATTACTAAGTTTGGCAAAAATGAAATCTTAGTGTCTCGAATGTGTGTCATGTAGGCATAAAGTAAAAATGGAAAATCCAAATGGGGCTGTGATATATCTCCTTGTTTAGCAACATGCTTTGATAACATTATTGTTTACTTATTTATTTGTGAAAGAGCAAAGTTAATATAAGCCCTACAAAATTATAGACAGCATCTTACCATCCAAGAGGTAAAAGACTAATAGTACATACATGCCATTGAATGGATAGACTATTCACACTATTAGGAGACACTAGTGTTAATTGCATACGAACCTGCTTTTTTAGCAGCGACCAAGCGTCGTCAGGCCCTAATGTGCCAATGTGATGGTAAGGCCATGTCGCTGCCATCCCTAGGGCAACACCTTCATCTCTAGTGGTGATGAGGACTTGGCTGCCTGGAGCAGCAGCATTAACGAAGGGTATTTTGAGCACACCCTCCCATGCTCCAGGGTTCCACACATCATCCATTACCAGTAAAGTCTTGTGGCCAATCAAGGTGTCCTTGAGAGTTTGGTGAAGCGTAGCCTTTGCATTTCCAGCCGGCAGGTGGTTTCCTCCGGCTGCACTGATGGCCCTTGTCAACAGCTCAATCTCACTGAAGTTTTGGTCGATGCTCAACCATATCCTTTTGCTGAACTCACATTGGATGACCTCGTCATGGAAAACCTTCTGGGCAAGCGTGGTCTTGCCAATCCCACCAACACCTACGATGGCGAACACTATGATGTTGGTGTTGACCTCATTTCTTGGGCGCATGATCTGGGACACCAGTGCTCTTGCGTCTTCTTTGATCTGGTCCCCAACCAGACCCGACCAGGACCGGTCGAGGTCCCCTGATGTCTCATGGCTAGGATTGCCACAACCAGAGGCGTGGATGTTGCTGCTATGATCCTCATAGGATCCGAGGTTGATAAAGTTGAAAGCAGCACTCCGCTCCTTGATGGAGTCAAGGCTCTTGTTGAGCGCCTTGATGCGGGTGCCGATTTCATGAGCATGGAAGGGATTCCGCATGCAGAAAAGCAAGGGATTGAAAAACCCTGGAATTGCGGTGGATGGTCCACGCTCCATGGCCTTGAGCTGACAGAGGTCGAGGATGTCAGCAGCTTCATACATGGCACGCTTGAGCTGGCCCACCCAGACTTGCACGGTCTCATCCGTGATGTTCCTCCTATCGGCATCGGCGAGGAAGTTCTTGAGGTCCTGGAGCTTGTCGCCCATCTTGTTGATCTCGCCCGAGACGCCCAGCATCGTTCCGAGCTCATCTTCTACCACCTGCTTGAGGTAATCCCCCAGGTAGGATGCAAACGCATCCAGCACCATCACCATTGTTTAACTTGCTGGACTTTTGCTGTGATAAGAATTGAACACAATTAAGGTGAAATTTAATTTAAGTAGGAGCCAGAGACAATAAAATAAAACATGAACATTGCCTCTGAAGAGAAAGTAAACATGAAGCTTAACTAGCTAGGTGAGACAAATTAAACTTGAACTGGGCCACAAACCTTTGGGATGGATGGGATGCACGGTGGTCGGCGGCGAGAAATGACAGCAGATGGCGACCGCGGCAGAGGCGACGGTGTTTGGAGGGCATGTGACTGCTGCTGAAACGTCGGGGGAGATCTGGAGGCTGGAGGGGTTGGGAGATACTTGCCGCCGCTGGCAGCTAGAGCTGGGTAAAGCATCTCATTCCCACCGCAACCGGCGCAGAGAAGCAAAGCATATGCCATTCCCGTCGGTGGAGCGAGCAAAGCACGGCCGCAAAAGCACAAGCAGCTTCTTTTGCTTTTCTTTGGATCTGAACTGAATCTTTCCGGGATGCCACCTCATCAAGGTGGGCTTTTGCCTCGCGCGCACGTCGACTTCTTGGTTGTGGGCGGCGGCTAGGGGAAGGCAGCAGGCAGGGCTGGCCCGAGGGCAGGAGCAGGAGGCCTCCGCCGACACCGCGACGGGGGGTACGAGGTGGTGGCAAGCAGTACAGCCGTGGCCGGGTCGTCCATGGTGGCGCGACGGCTTCTGGGTGGGATTCGGGTGCGGGGATAGAGCGGCTTCGTCGGCGGCCATTGTTGGTCAGGGAGTGGGAAGGAGAGGAGATGGGAAGGGTTGGAGACGAGACGATGAAGTGAGCTGACAGGTGGGCCACTCCAACCCGGCATTCACAGGACCGGACCTTACAAAGCCCCACCTCAAAACGAGCCCGGGCCCAACCTGACCTGGCCCACAGCCCAGAGAAACGGCCACTTCTCATTTTTTGAAAATACAAATAAACGAGAAAGTTAACTGTGGAACCTTTTTTTTTTCATGACTAGGTAATTGCACGTGCGTGACTCGATACCAAACATGTCAAACATATACCTTCATTCTCATGCATATCTTGTACTAGTATTGTCAATTCTTTTATTTACTGTTGAATTATTCAGAATCCAATAGCACCATGTCCGAAAATATTTACCTGCAAGCGGACATGTCACGTATATACACAGTAGTTACAGTAGCCGATGATGAAACCCTCAGATTCGTAAACATTTTCACTTGATGAAAATGCAGGTAGGCCTCCTAGAAGAATTTCAATGATTGACACATATTTTTGTTACTTCTACACTTATCGAGTTTGTTTGTAAATTGTGAAGCCTAATCTCATTCTATTTCCCACTAAATACCCATTCTTCTTCTTTTTTTGCAGTTTGGCTGCGATCTTGACAGGATGAAATTGGTACCCTTTTGCCAACAGCATTGTAACAATCTTCCCTGATTAATGCAGTTCTTTTTCTCACAATAAAACTCATTCTTTGTAGTAGCAACCCAGAATTATGCAGATGTATTTCCATTCATTTGATTTGTAAACATTAAAAAAACCTAAAATCTAAAAAGTGCATATGCACTATTTGGTTGAATGAAGCGGCCCGTCTCACATGCATGTGGCTGTTAATTTTTTTATCTTCTAGTGCATGTGATTGTTAGCATTAAATGTGTTCACATTGATTAATTCATTTCGAAAAGAATAGATCCACACACATTCATTTCGGAGTTTTAAACTTTAAAAAGTCATATCTTTCAAACCGCGCGTCGGAATTCAGATCCGTTTTCACTGCTGGAACTCTTGCGATGAGATCTTTAAAACTAGATCCCGCATGGGTATGTTTTGACGAAAAATTTTCGGTGCCAACTTTGGTGCTATATGGTGCAACTTTAGTATTGTATTGTGCAACTTTAATACTACATCGTGCAACTTTTTCCAAAACCAATTTTTGGATCTGCATGATACAACTTCTATGAGATTGTAATTTAGCAACCATGACAACTTTGATGTGCAACTAGTCTACTGTCCCGATCAACTACCTAGTAGTCGATATGCAATTTTTCACTGTTGGCACATCCTACCCCTACCCCTCCTGCAAGTGATATGTGCAACTTAGTCTATTGTTCAAGCCAACTACCTATTAATCAATGTGCAACTCATTGTCATCCCTATTTGTGGACATGTATTTTCAGTTGGCGGGGGCGACAAATAGAGTTGCACATAGTCTGCTAGGTAGTTGGCCAGGGCAATGTATGAAGTTGCACATCTCACAGGCAGAAACAGTTGAATGATGAAAATTTGGCATTCATAAGGGTAGTGAAAAGTTGCATATAAACAGAGTGCTAAAGTTTCAAATCTCACTAGCAGGGGTGGTTTGGGCCGGGTGCTAGCAGGGAAACTACACATCCATGGGGGTATGAGATAAAGTTGCACATCACTGATAGATAGTTGGCCGTGGCAGTATCCGAAGTTGCACATCCACTGTTAGGCTGCTCGCCGATGCAGCAAACAGTGAAGCACATCCACGGGCGGGGGAAAGTTGCACATCAACTACTATACAGTTAGCCTGGGCAACTGACGAAGTTGCACATCTCACTAGAAGGAGGTAGTTTGGGGTGGAGGTAGGTACCATAATTGAAAATTGCACGTCTACAGTGTAGGAGAAAAGTTGCACATCCCTGTCAGGTAGTTGCACATCCCCTGTCAGGTAGTTGGACATCGACGGTTAGGCAGTTGCATAAAACGGAGACAAAATTGCACACGCAAAAATTCGTCGAAACATACCCATGTAGGATCTACTTTC